CAGGGTTCAGCTCAGACTGTGGCATGGGTTGTGCAACCGGCTAGAGTCAGAGCTTCAGCCCTCTGGAGTTTGTGGGGGAGGGTGGGGACCTGCCCAGTTGCACCCAGCCTTCTCCTCCTTTTCAGCTTCTTCTCTCTCCAGTCGCGGGGTAGGGGCCCACTGCACTGCTCTGTCTGTCCTCCCACTTACAGCTCCCTGTGTCTCCAGGTGGAGGGAGGGGGTGATAGCTCAGTTCACAGGCTCTCCTGGCTGGCTGGCTTTTGGGCTTATGTGTCGGTTTAGGTCTGGGCACCAATCTGGGACACTGTCCTGGATTATTGTTGAACTCCATGCTTGTAATTCCCGGTGCTTGACTGGCAAAGATCCCCTGTTCTGTGTATTGCTGAGGCTTTGGGGGAAGTGCTATATCTGGACCGGAGTGACAGAGGGGGAGCCTCTGACTTGCCAGTCAGATGCACTTCCTGGGTGAAGCAGCACTTCTTCCTGCCTCACTCTGCCTTGCCCGGGCTTTGCTCACTGTAGGACCAGAACCGTTGAAATGCCCCTGGTACCTCAGTTGGAGCTAGGAGATCTCAGGATTTCCGCATCTCTCTCACTGGGTGCTGTGCATCTGAGTTGTGTCTATTTGGCCATCTTGGAGAGTCCCATGTATACATTTTTTGACATGGAATTTTGCTCTTGTTACCCAGGCTAGAGTGCAGTGATGCAATCTGGGTTTACTGCCACCTCTGCCTCCAGGGTTCAAGCGATTTTCCCGCCTCAGCCTCCTGAGTAGCTGGGATTACAGGTGCGTGCTACCATGCCTGGCTAATTTTTGTATTTTTAATAGAGATGGAGTTTCACCATGTTGGCCAGGCTTGTCACGAACTCCTAACCTCAGGTGATCCACTCGCCTCAGCCTTCCAGAGTGCTAGGATTACAGACGTGAGCCACTGTGCCTGGCCAACATAATATTATATAAGCTATGGATAGGTTCATAAGGAGAGCAATAATTCCCATGATATTTCAACTTCTGGGCTAAAAATTCTTCAGATTATATCTAATATTTATTTTTATATCAATGTACACCTATGTAAATACGTTCTTCACTGAGGAACCTTAGAAGGAAACTTTGAAGTGGGAAATGGTTCCTGTTCTTGAGTAGGAAGATTCATTTTTCTCAAGATGTGAGCTCTTTGTTTATCAACTTTAGATAAACCAAATAAAAATATCAAAGTTTTAACATTTTAAAATTAAACTTGTCCGTCTTTTACTATTGTGATGACATTAAAAAAATTTTTTTTTGTAGTGAGGTGAGAATGACTTGCCTTTCTGTATACAAAATGTGCTATTAGTTTCCACAAATTATGAATAGCTGAAAAGACGGATAAATGAATGAAACAGAATAGAAGATCTACAATTGCCCAAATAGTGTGCATAATCCCAGCTTACACCTGTAATTTTAGCATTTTGGGAGGCCGAGGCAGGTGGATCACTTGAGGTTGGGAGTTTGAGACCCTGACCAACATAGAGAAAACCCCATTTCTACTAATAATACAAAAATTAGCTGGGCATGGTGGTGCATGCCTTTAAACCCAGCTACTCAGAAGGCTGAGACAAAATCTCTTGAACCTGGAGGTGGAGGTTGCGGTTAGCTAAGGTTGTACCATTGCACTCCAGCTTGGACAAGAGCGAAACTCTGTCTCAGAAAGAAAAAAAGAATTGCCCAAATACATATAAGCATTTGGAGCTTGATAATGGTGACATTTCAGATTAGTAGGAAAAGGTGAATTATTCGTAAATTACATGTCTGCTGTTTGGATAAAACTTAACTAGAGTTTTATGTCACAGAAATAAATTCCTGATGAAAAATAGATCAAACATTTTAAATATGCAAAATAGGGAAAGTACCAAAAGAAGACACACATGCGTATTTCTACAAATACCTTTTTATGTTGACAAAACCTTCCTAAGAACTTCACAAGCAAGCATTCTAAAGGTTGATTTAGCAAAATAAAACTTAAAACACTCTATTTAAGAAAAAAAGACAACCTACTTACAAAATATTTACAACATATACATATAATACATATTTCACATCAGATGAAATATGTATCTTCATATTACAGAATTCAAATCAACAAGAAAATAATTATAAATTTGGGCAAAGTACTTTTTTGCAGATCTATAAGTGACCTACATACATAAGAAAAAAATACTTAATGTTTCTTATAAGAGAAGGAATTCATGTTAAAAGAGAAATTAAATACTGTTTCCCATCCACAAAGTTTGTGAGAATGAAGACAGTAGTACTTACATAACTGCTTAACGTTTAAGTTGCTAATGACTTTTCAAAAAGAGAATTTGGTGGTAATAAATGTGGTAAGCACCACATTTAAAAAACATATATGCCCTTTACTCATCAATTCCATTATGCTGAAATATCTGTAACTAAAGATACAGCCAATTTGTTTTTCTCAGTACTGCTTAAAACCTCAGTGTATTAAGAAGAACACATATGGTGGATTTTAGAACTAAATTTCAGTGCATCCATAGGATGGAATAGTAACTGTTGAAGGTGTGACTAGATACAGACTTATTTTGACATGCGAAGATGTACTTTACTATACCAAAAAAATTGTTTTGATTGTACATACACACATACTATACTCCTATTTTAGCTGAAAATATGTACTAAATGTGATTACATTTATTTCTGGCCATTTGTACTATAAGTAACTTTTTTTTCCTATCTGTGATTTCTGCAATGAGCATGTATAAAAGTTATAGTAAAAGCTTGTTATTAATGAAATAATCTTTGGGAAATGAGAATATATGAGATTTGCTCAGATAAAAATAGTTTCTCACTTTCTGTTATTTTTGTGGTTTGGTCTCTTTAGTGAACTTTTAGCCTCTTCTGGAGAAGGGGGAATCCTTTTGTCTGTGCTTAAAAGTTTTATTATGAATACATTTTATTATATACGTATGTTTTAATTATATATAGATTTACTACATATATGCAAAAAAGATGAAAATTTTAGTTCAGTTATGTTTTTATGAAAATAAAAATAGCTAATATAAGTGATTATTACTATTGTAAAAGTATTGCTTTATTTTCTGGGAGTTTTCTTTTAAAATGTTGAACTCCCTAACTGTATTTTTCCATTTTTTGTTTTTATAAAAAATGTTTTTCTGAGGCAGCCTCTTACCCAGGCTGGAGTGCAGTGGCACAATTATGGCTTATTGCAGCCTCGACCTTCTGTGCTCAAGTGATCCTCTCTTCAGCCTCCTGAGGAGCTGGGACTGCCGGTGTGCACCACCATACCTGGTTAATTTTTGTACTTTTTGTAGAGACAGGGTTTCACCATGTTGTCCAGGCTAGTCTCAAACTCCTGCACCCAAGCAATCCTCCCACCTTGGCCTCCCAAAGAGCTGGAATTACAGACATGAGGCACCATGCACAGCCTCTATTCTTTCAGTTGATTTGTTCGTCAAATATAAGCTGAATACCTGTTATGTAGCACACATATATTACTATCTTTCAGGACCCTTTTGCCCTTAAAACTTCATATTTACCTGCCCAGTTTGAGCAAGCTGGAAGATTTAATATCGGAGTATTAGAACTTAGTCTCAATTGAAGCTTTTCCTCCCTCCTTTCAAACAAAAGCACTTCTGAAGGTAGAAAATAGAAAAATAAAACTTTTCTTTTTGAGATAGAGTCTCTGTCCACCACACTGGAGTGCAACGGTGTGATCTTGGCTCACTGCAACCTCTGCCTCCTGATTTCAAGTGATTCTCTTGCCTCAGCTTCCAGAGTAGTTGGGATTACAGGCGTGTGTGCCACCATACCTGGCTAAATTTTCTATTTTTAGTAGAGATGGGACTTTGCCATGTTGGCCAGGCTGGTCTCAAAACTCCTGACCTCAGGTGATCCTCCCACCTCGGCCTCCCAAAGTGCTGGGATTATACGCATGAGCCACCATGACTGGCTGCAAAATATAATTTTTAACTGCACTTTTGAAAATTTATAACAGTTTTAAATGTGAATATTAATCATTGGAAGTGCCTAATTTACATTCATTCTATAAATCTAAATAGAAAATAAGCTATACTCTTTCATTTGAATTCTGAGTTTCTTTTGGCTTAAAGTGTTTTTTTGAAAATCAAAGTAAGAATGAGTTTGTTTTAAACATTTGTTGTCATCTTCATTTTCAGTCCTCTTGTTCTATGGTACTTTTGAGAACTAAAATTTATTTAAATGCAATTTATATGACTAGAACTCCCCTGGATGTGGTTGTATACATCAATTCTACTTATTGCAAGGCATCATGGATTGTGTGATACCCCATCATTTTGTATCTCAATAAGAGAATTATTTAAATGTGGCCAATTTTAGTTGTAATAAGTCAAGAATTATAAGTGGGATTCTAATGTTAGAGATGGGAAAATATGAGCAAATGAGCCACTTAGAATTATCAAAATACAATGTTACCTCTAATGTTTAAACATACCTCAAAGTAGATATAATTGTATCATTTTACTTAACTAAAATCTTGTCTTTGTTAAGTAGTAGCATTAGTAGTAATTATAATATCTAACAAATATTGAGGTGTTATTTGTGCTAGGAACTGTTCTCAATACTTTGCATAGAGTCTCATGGAAGCATCAAAATAGTGTCCTGTGAGACATCAATATTTTTAACCCCCATTTTATTAATTAGGAAATGGAGGCAAGAAAGACGAAGTAATAGGTAGGTAATGACAGAGTTTAAAGTAGGATTCCTGTCCAAGTTGAACTGAATCCAAAGGCCAAAGTATTTCTATTGAAATAGGCCGCTCTTTATGTAGTGAGCAATAATAGGGAGTAAAAAGTATCATTGCCTCACAAAAAATTAAATATTTGTTTGGAAGGTAGAGAAATCACATGCTACTCAATGTTTATAATTACACAGATGATTTTATGTGTTCAGATGATTTTATGTTTTCAGATAGTTTCCTAAAAATGTTATCTCCGTTTCATAGGACTGCTCTGCATTTGGCCTGTGCCAATGGTCATCCAACAGTGGTAGCTCTTCTGGTGAACAGTGGATGTCAACTTAATGTCTTTGATGACAAAAACAGGACACCTCTGGTAAAGGTACATAGTAGCCAATGATTTCAGCATGAGATGGATTTGGTACAAATACATAGAATAAAATACAATTCATCTCGTTTAAGCATAACTCATTGGTGAAAGTTGTGGAGTGCTTATTTTGAACTCCTAGAATTTACAGTCTGTTGTTTGGTCTAATACTGACAGGCGGTACAATGCCAGAAAGAGGAATGTGCGACTACTTTGCTAAAACTCGGCGCTGACCCAGATCTTCCAGATGTCTATGGCAATACTGCCCTACATTATGCTGTCTACAATGAGGATATCCCAATGACAAAAAAACTGCTTTTGCATCATGCCAATAGTGGATTAGCAAACAAGGTATAGATCAACCAACTTTATTTTCAAAATATTTGAAATGCATTTGTTGCATTGACTGATGTATGGGTCAGTTTTTCGTGTTTGGAAGCTCCAGCATAACCTAAATAAAAATATTTGGAAATAATTATAAAACTTTAAATATTGATACTTTTAAAGAAGCATTAGAGGGTACATCTTTTTTAGGTATGGTAAACAATTTTGAAAACACTGAATTTGTAAAAGGTAATGCTTTTTAATTTTTTTTTCCCAGTTTTTTTTTTTTCTAATTAGTATAACATGATCCTGGAAAGTAGAATTTGCTCTGGAATTAAAAGTGCCAAGAAAACTAAAACATTTTAAATCAACAGAAATCTTGATGCTGGTGACAAGTTCCTACATAGAGTAATATATATGAAAGTGATTTGACTCTCAGTGGTGGAGCTTAAGAGGGAAAAATGGAAAGGGAAAGGAAAGCAATCAGAAATATGCAGGCCAATTTGGAAATTAGGTAATTGAGGGAAAAGACCAAGAAGATTTTTTGTTGTTTTTTGCTTTTGTTTGCTTCTTTGTTTCCAGTTTATGTGTCTAGACAAGATTCTTTTCAGTTTTGGGGATTATAGTTTTCAGTTTGGGAGACAGTTAATGAGTTGTACACTTGTCAAGAGATCAATTTTAGGAGGACTGTGAGGAAACCAGATTGGCTGTGAATAGTTGGTGATGAAGTGGGAAACCCTTAAGCAAGTAATTAACAGACTTACCCTATTCTGGCAGAAAGAGCCACTTAGATAAATGTCTAAACTCTGTTCTCAAATCTAGACTGCCTTGAGGGTAAGGTGGGAGATAAGGAGTTTATATATAGCAAAGTCAAGTTGGATTTTGAGTTTACTAGTCCTTATTCTTCTTCTACCCAAACAAATTACGTGGAGTTTTCAGTAAATAAGTCTCTCTTACTCTTTCCTCTTTTCGGCCAAATCCTCAAAGAAAAAGGTAATTTGTCATGTGGTGAGACATGATGAAAGTAATTGTTGATTGGACCAGTTCTCAGCTAGAATTGTGCATAACTGTAACTTAGGGAAATTTTAAAAAAATCTACAAAGCTAACCTCTCCTCTGATGATTTTGATATAGTAAATCTAATAAAGTCTAGACATGTATGTTTAAAAATACTTCCTTGGAGCCAGGCACGGTGAGACATGGCTGCGGTCCCAGCCATTCAGGAGGCTGAGTTAGAGGTATTGCTTGAGACCAGGAGTTTAAATCTAACCTGGTCAACATAGTAAAACCCCGTCTCTGACTAAATAACAGCAAGTTCCTCCAAATTCTGATACATACCTGGTTAAGAATCACTAAATAGATAAGTGTAATATATAAATTACCATCTCCCAAAACTCTTCTAGCGTTAAGAAATCTCTAGAAAAGTAGGCGTTTGATAGGTACTACTTCATTTAGATCTCTCCTTTTCAGTAATATTAGCCCATTTTTCTTTACCTTTGTGGTTGGGAAGCTAAAAGAAATATTATTGGCAATAGATAGCACATTTTTCTTCCCACCATTAATTATTCACTGCCATTCAGAGAGTCTTTATAAATTTGCTCTGGGTAGTCTTTCTTTTTTTAAATTTTTTTGAGACAGGATCTTGCTCTGTCACCTAGGCTGGACTGCAGGGCACAATCACAGCTCAGTGCAGCCTCAGCCTCCTGGAGCTCAAGTGATCCTCCTACCTTAACCTCCTGAGTAACTGAGACTACAGACATGTACCATCATGCCAAGCCAATTTTTAATTTTTTTGTAAATACAGGGTTTCACTATGTTGCCCAGGCTGGTCTCAAACTCTGGGCTCAAAGAGTCCTACGTTAGCTTCCAAAAGTGCTGGGATTACAGATATGAGCTACTGCACTCAGCCTGGGAAGTATTTCACTAAGTGGAGGCTCACCCCTTCAGGACTTCACATCTCTTTGTTAACATTCATGTGATTAGGTCAATGAATCTTTGTTATTAGTGGAGTTTCCTCAATTAGAATTGTAGCAAATTCTAAACCTTTTTTTCATTGAAGCTGTATTATGGGCTATATCATTGTGTCTGTTCATAGAGTTTAGGCATAATCAGGATGAGAGTTTTAAACCCTGAAAACCATGAAGTTACTAAGAGCACAGATAGAAATTCTTTTAATAATTTAGCTTCATCATTCCTGTGAACTAAATATTTGCTTGACAATCTCAGAAAACTACTTACTAATAGATTTTAAATGAGTAAATGGTAGAAAAATTATTGAAGTGGGTACTGTGAGTCTTAGAAGCAAATTTTGTTACATATCGGGGACGGTTTTTTTGGTGAAACATCCAAAACCAAAGAAAAAAAATAGTTTCCATGCAAATACTTGCTTTATACACAACCATGTGGTAACATATCCATGGCAAGTTAAAAATTGCAAGGGCTAAGGTCTAAATGTGGCCCATAGGTATGTTTCACTGGCCTTCATAAATTGTGTCAACATGTAAAATTTAGGAGACTAATACACAAATCTGGATTTTAGGCTTCTCTTAAGCATCAGATCTGGTGTCCCGTGAGCTCATATCACTGTTTGGTCTGTTGTGCAGAGGTTGCCCCTTTCTATGAGGCCTGTGTTCTCCAGTTTGCTGTGGTGCCCATCTAGGCACCTCCCTTAGGCCACCCCCTTTGCCCTTGTAAGCATTTGACAACTCTTATCTTACGGTATATTTTGATAAAGATGTCAAGGCTTTCAAGACAGTTTCTATTTGTTTATAATATAGAATCTGTATTTTATATAAATCCCTTGGCATTGGGGTTGAATTCTAAAATTTATAAGTTTTTAAAAAGCTGATAAATTCTATATTCTTTTTATTTATGGTACATATTCTTTATATTTAATGTAAGATAACTCTTATTCTTTATATTTGCCGTAAATAAGCACCTTCTCATTTGCATGCCTGTAAGTCTTTCTAGCTGGATGTGTTATGCATATTGCAGACAACATTATATCTTTCTCTTCAGCATCATTCCTTAGAAATGCAAGTGATTTAGTGACTTCCATCATGATAGGGATAGATAGAGCAGTAGGAGAACTTTTAATGATAAGCCATTGTATTTTTATTTCTGATTCATATTTTTTCCTAAAATAAAATATATTAAAAAAGTGCTGGGATTCCAGGCATAAGCCACCACCCCAGCCAAAACTGAATTTTAAAAGTAGATATGAGGCTGGGTGTGGTGACTCACGCTATAATCCCAGGACTTTGGGAGGCCGAGGTGGGTGGATCACCTGAAGTCAGGAGTTCTAGACCAGCCTGACCAGCATGGTGAAACCCCCTCTCTACTAAAAATACAAAATTAGTCAGGCGTGGTGGTACATGCCAGTAGTGCCAGCTACTTGGGAAGGTGAGACAGAATTACTTGAACCCCGGGAGGCGGAGATTATAGTGGGCCAAGATCCTATCATTGCATTCCAGCCTGGGTGACAGAGCGAGACTCTATCTCAAAAAATAAAAATTAAAAAAAAAAAATGCTGGATGCAGTGGCTCATGCCTGTAATCCCAGCACTTTGGGATGGCAAGGTAGGCAGATCACCTAAAGTCAGGAGTTTGAGATCAAACTGGCCAACATGTTGAAACCCCGTCTTTACTAAAAATATAAAAATTAGCTGGGTGTGGTGGCAGGCACCTGTAATCCCAGCTACTTGGGAGGCAGAGGCAGGAGAATTGCTTGAACCTTGGAGGCAGAGGTTGCGGTGAACTGAGATCGTGCCATTTCACTGCAACCTGGGCGACAGAGCCAGACTCCATCTCAGAAAAAAAAAAAATTAAAAAATAAGCAGGGTCCTAGGAATGGTAATTGAGAATAACATTTTATATAGATGTTTCTAATGGCTAAAATAAAAATCTATTCTCTTTAAAAAGGAGAAAACTCATGGAGCATTTACTAATAAGCAGTGGAAGTTCATTTGAAGCTGATTTAATTCACAGACCATTTTCTTAGTGACTCATTTGCAGCAGGAGTGCCTGACATTGGCATTTGGGATTCTGACGCCACTGACAGAAGAGAAGCAAGTGAGTTTGCATATAACCTGGAGGAAACCTCCACCTTATTGGAAAGCTCTCACAGCTACAGCCCTGAAATTCTGATTTCTCAAATGCCAATATTTGCCACAAAACAGTGTTGTCAAAAAGGGATTAGGCAAAGTGTAAGAGATTTCTTGACTACTGGACATATAATGCACAGTTCTGTACCATTTCTCAAACATCCATGATCGTGGAATCCTTCTGTTGGAGTACAGTCTTTAACATCTGGTAACATAAACATTCTTTGGAATGCAGTGTAAGAAACACTGCTCTAGAGGCATTAATTGAGATCATTAATGAAAACGCTTGAAGCATTTACTAATATTTCTTAAGATTTGGGAACATAGATATCGAAGATAAAGCCCCTGCTCTCAAGAAGCTCTTGGTTTACATGAAAAAATAGTAAAATCATTGCAATATACTCTGCTAAGTGCTGTGACAGAAGCAAAGATGATTAGAACTGGTATTGAAGTGAGTTTTGGAGATGACCAGCCTTCCTGTGATGAGGTGGAAGAGGTTCTTCCATGGGAAGGAACAGCAAACGGGAAAGCGCAGAAGAATAAAAAGGAAGGGAGGACTTATTAGCTAATTTCTGTGTTACATGTTTAAGTCTGTAGGATCTTACATACATGCAAGGTTTCCAATTCAGATGAGAAGTATGTAATTTTGTGAGTTACAAGTTGTTCTTGCTGTTTTACAGGATGAACTCACACCATTTTTACTAGCTGTACATGAAGAAAAACAGGAAATGGTAGAATTTTTAATAAAGCAAGAAGAAAATTTAACTGCAGTTAAGTTTGAAAGGTACAGTGATTAGTTTTTTTAAAAAGCTGGCTGATATTCTATAGTGATAATAGTCTCTCTAGTTAGAAATATTAGATTAATAATATTAACTTATAATTATTGTGATATAGTAAAAAATATCAACACAAATCATTGGTTAAGTAGAAAAACTATTTAGGGTGGGCAACATAGAGAACAGTATATAGGAGGATTCATCTTTTCTTATTATATTGACCGGTGTTTGTTATTTGTAATGTGATGTTTTTGGTCATATGATCTAACCAAAGGGGTTTTATATTGGTTTTATTAGTTTTATGAAATGTGGATTTTAACTTTTAGTATACTTTAAGACTTAATAAATATTGAACTTCTTAACCCTTTCATAGTAGTTTTTTTTAACCTCTGTTTCTTATATGCTCTTCCTTTAAACATGCTGTATTAGACATAAATAGGAGTTGAAAATCATTATTTCTTCTAGATGACTTTTAAAGTTGCTTCCTTTGAAAAATAGTGATGTTAAGTTATTCCTACATGGCTGTTAATTGCTGTTACCAGGTACTTTGGGTTCATTAGTTTTCTTCTATTTCATTTCTAGTGTATTTTGATGTTATTATTATTATTATTGTATTATAGGCAGAGTCTTGCTCTGTCGCCCAGGCTGGAGTGCAGTGGCACGATTTGGCCCACTACAACCTCTGCCTCCTGAGTTTAAATGATTCTCCTGCCTCAGCCTCCCAAATAGGTGGGACTACAGGCATACGCCACCATGCCCAGCTAATTTTTTGTATTTTTAGTAGAGACGGGGTTTCACCATGTTAAATAGGATGGTCTTGATCTCCTGACCTCGTGATCTGCCTTCCATGGCCTCCCAAAGTGCTGGGATTACAGGCTTGAGCCACTCACTGTTCCTGGCCCTGATGATTTTATTTGTAATTGCTATGGGAAGAGGGAGAAAATACAGCTTTAAATGAATAGCCTTTTCTTCTAAGGAAGACAAGCCATAGGTGGGTAATAAAGAGAAAAGAGCTAGGCTTTAGATTCACACAAGACTGGATTTAACTGCCAGCTTTCTCTCTTGTTAGGTATGTGAGCTGGGAACATTACTTATCACCAAATACGTTTTTCTATATGAAAGGGAGGATAATAATATGTCCTTCAAGGGTGATTGTGTGGAAGAAAGATTATATATATATGTATGTATTTGTAGCATTTAATTCAGTGCCTAGCACATGTGTTTAGGCATCATCAACTGAAACTACTGTGATTACTATTATTACCATTATTATCATTTCCTGCCTGCAGACAGCTCTTACTTATCTGACCCCTAGCTGGTTTTGAATTACAATATATCCGTCTTTAAATCTTTGCTTGCATTAGATAAGTGACCTCAGCATAGTTTCTTGCTCATCAAAGAACTTTAAGTTAGCAACTTCTATAATATAATACCCTACTGGGACAAGAGGCTTCCTTTTTGTCCCCCACCCCCTTTTTTTAGCATTGGTGGTAATTTATGAAGATGAACACTTAGGCACCCAAGATGTTCATGTTTGTTAGTACATGGAAATGTTTAATTCTACATGAACAGGCAAGATATTAAATTGGCAAAGAATATCAAATTAGCTTTTTAAATACCTTTCTTAAAGTTCCTAAGAAAAAAGTTATCTCTCTGGTATTTTCGAACAGCCCTCATTCTTGCTGTACATTGCACATCAGCAAGTATAGTCAGCCTTCTTCTTCAGCAAAATGCTGATGTGTTTTCTCAAGATCTGTCTGGATGGACTGCAGAAAATTATGTCATTTCTAGTCCTTTTACTAGGCAAGTTTTTACATTAGAAGGCTAGCTTACACTAAATTGCAGCTTAAAATAATTATAGCTATTGTATCTTATATATCAGGTGAGGTTTTATAGTTGAATTCAGGTCATCTTGCGGTGGCAGTCCACTTTATCAGCCAGAAATCAGGCAAAACGCTACTAGACTGGTTAGAAGTATCAGTGGGTGCAGAATTCTTCATCTCAGGACTCTTGAGATCTTTGTCGTAGAGATCCAATCATTGCTCCATTTACTCCAAGTATAGCCACATGCACAGGATAAAAATAGTTAGTCATTTGGGTCTTGAAATGTTGCCTTAGTAGAAAATCTTGTACTATCTTCTGAGGGCTGTCTCTTATACCCTCCTCCTTGAATTTTTCAAGAACCTAAGGGCTTTCCTAAGTACAAGAAGAAGATAAAAAAGACAATCCTTTACCAGTGAGAAGGAAGGGAAGAAAACAACATTGTAACCGTTCTGTTCTTTCCATTGATTCTTTTCCTGCATTATTGCCACTGAAAGTGGTTCTGCAGTCTGTTAATGCTTGACTTTTCCATCAGGATTTACTTACTGCTTCAGAGTACTCAGTTTTCATGGTGATTCATACATAGACTTTATAGTTACAACTTTTTTTAGTTAACAAATACGTATGCTCAGCCGTTGTTCCCAAATCATCCTGCTCTGACAGCTGGGCATTCTAGCTTTAGCCACACACATGGTGAGAAAATTGACCATACTTCTTCCACATTCAAAACCTTATGTGGAGCCCCTATCTTAGCCTAGGCATAGCCCAGGACTTCATGGTAAGTTATCCTCTGAGGCCTTGTTCGTCTTTTCTCTATCAAATATTAGTTGAGATTGCTCTAAACTGTCAAAGAGGATCAAATTATGTTGCAGAAAGAGATCAGTGTTTTCTTACTCCATTGTACCCTGAGGCTCCTTTATATCCTGTTCAGCACATTTTCTTAGGGAGTGGAAGGTTCTATATTATCCTTCCCCACACCTTGGGTGCCAATTTGTGGGTTTTTTTCTTTTCTTTTTTCTAACTTGTAGTGTTATCCGGAAGTAATCTGTTTTCCACAATAATGAAAATCTCCCAAGTTACTTGCATTTCTATCTTAAGTTTTAAAAATATTTTCATATTCTACCTCATAGGAAGCCATTCAACAGAATTCTCTGAATCTCAAGTAGGTTTATTGGGTTTATCAGCGCTAAGCCTCATCCATGATTGATGAATATTCATGTATAAAGTAGGGTTTTATGCTTGCTTCAGCAGCTCATATACTAATACTGGAATAATACAGAGAAAATTAACATGGCTCCTGCATAAAGATGACACACAAATTCATGAGGTAGGTTCATATTTTGTGCAGTTCCTGGAAGGTCCTTTGACAATTTTCTGATTAGCTCCAAGGAAACAGCATGAGTCAAAGCAAAATGGTTGGCACTTAATATTGAAATTGTGATCTTCACTACCAAAATACTCACATACAGTGATCTATGGAATGAGAATGGAGCTGAGCAAAGCATGGGGATGTTGTGTGCAAATATATTATTAGTATGTATTTCAGAAATGAGAAAATGTCACCTTGCATCTCCTTCATGGAACTTAAAAAAATAGTTTTATCTTTTGTGTCAAATGGAGGTAAACATGGAGATTAAGCGTCATTCTACAAAGATCTACTGGCTCAGAGTTGGAGTCTGTAAAGAAGAATCAGAGTCCAAGGCAGGTCTTGATATCTGTTAGTTTTCTGCCCTTGGTGTGATTGGTGAGCTCAGTAACAGTGGACAATTATGTTATCCAATTTAATGAGATAATGTGTTTATAAATAAATGTAGTTACAAACTATGAAATATATGAGATGCCCTAAATTAAAAGCCACAAAGAGTAGAATACCTAATAGACAAAATTAGGATTTAATAACATTTCCCCAAAACCATAATGTTTCAATATTAGAACATATAAAAAACACATTGGACTTTATTTGCAGTTCCAAAATAGTTTCACCAATAAAGTTCAAGAACAAATTATTTCATTGCTTCACGATTTTTCTGAGCATTCAAAACATGCTATCTCATTAAATTTTTATAAGAACCTAGTGAAATAAGACAGTAAAATCCTCACTTTTTAGAAGAAGACATTGAACCTAACAAAAGCAACTTACCCAAGAACTAATAGCTTTTGACTATAGAGCTAGGACTTGTTCTGAGTTAGGACACTTTCCTTTATGTCAGGCTAATGCAAGTTAATGTACTGAAATATATTCACGGGTACTTCATGTTACTTTTTTTCTTTAATTAGAAGCTTAATGAGAAGTTTGTAGAGCTTACAAATGAGAAGTATATGGGATAATTAAAGTTCTAAAATTACCAATATTATTTGAAATACTCTAAGAATTTAATATATTTGGTAATTGTTTTTATATCAGTTTTAAAATAGTAATTTTACTTATTGCATTTTTAGACATAGCATTTACCAAGTAATGTCTGAATACAAAGAAAATAAGACAGCTGGAAATCCTCAAAATAGCAATCCAGGTAAGACATCCAGGTAAATTACTCTTGGTGGTCTTACCATAGATTAACAAATAAGAGTAAGGAAGTTTTAATTACCAAAGAGCAGCTTAAAAACTCACTATGTAAATTGCATATTATACATATATGTATGTGTGTTTTAAATTTCTTCTTAGTAGGTTAGATTTCAGAATTATTAAAAAGGTTATGTGTAGATAATTCATAATCTCAAACAGTATTATCTGAAAGGAATCACTTCTTTAATTGTAGTCCCTAAAATCTACAATTAGATATTTTTTTGTATAATTTTTGTATAATACGATATTTTTTGTATAAATAAGAAAAAAGATTTTTAGGTTAGTTTGTGGTATGTTTTATTCATGGTCTCA